ACTCAAAAAGAGACCTTTTATATACTGAAAGGGGGAGGTGCAGCTCACACACACACACGTGCGCGCGCATACACACGCACACACACACGCGCGCACCCCTATCCCCGCCCATCCCCATCATCGGAACCGGGTCACCCATTGGTTCCCTAGTAAACGACTTCGTCGTCAGACGGTACATTTTTTGGGTCTGTTTCCTTTGATCGCGTCAACATTGCAAAGAGTATTTTTCAGGGCTATTTGGTGGCGCAAAAAACCTGGTCACAGTTAAAACCAAAAGCTTTCCCTTCTGGGATGCTAACTAAACGTGAATATTTTTTTTTTCTTCGCAAAACAAGACAAGGACACACACACCCCGCCCATTGCACATTTACAGGGAGTGAGCAAACCTCCTGTTTATTATATAATATATTATAATATAATATAATATAATATAATATAATATAATTCAATATAATATAATATAATATAATATAATATAATATAATATAATATAATATAATATAATATAATATAATATAATATAATATAATATAATATATAATATAATATAATATAATATAATATAATATAATATAATATAATATATAATATAATATAATATAATATAATATAATATTATATTATATTATATTATATTATATAATCTGTTTAAGTTACCATTGATAATTGGCATCATGAGAGCTGATAGGTTGAAATTGCAGTGGCATATTGAGTGAATGTCACATGACAGAGTGGTAAAAAACTTTATACACGAGGGAGATGAATGGTCGTAGACCACGAGGCAGACCGAGAAGACGATGGAGAGATAATGTTCAGAGAGACCTTCAACCACTTGTTGTTACTAACTGGAAAGAGAAGAAAAACCAGAGAGATGTGTAGAGGCGGGTGATATCTGCAGAAATGAACCTCAAGGGCTCGGAATGCTGAAGAAGAAGAAAAAGCAGAAGAAGAGCAAACTTCCCCTTCCTTAATTTGTGTGTGTTGGGGGAAGGGACTCGAGATATCTAACCACCCCTTCCATCCTGCCAAAGATTCGGCGCCACTGAAACGCATGTAAAGTACTGATCGAAATTCGCGGCACGGATTCACGTTTTACAAGAAATTTAAAAAAAAAGGCTAAGACTGAAATCTAATCACCGACCGTGAAACGTATTACGAGCTGCAGAAATTCATTCGATCAAAACGGGAGGGGCGCTCTCCTATCCATTTCTGGACGTTAATGATTTTGTCTGATCATGTTTTGAGCGATGAAGTGGTGATAAAAAGCAGTTGCAGTTGTTACTTCTGGGAATCACATCATCCAGAAAAGCATATTTGGCACGAAAGGAGATCTCTGCTTGCGCAGGACACAGACAGGGTTGTGGAGCAGAGAAGGGTATATATGAAGATAAGACAACAAAAAAGGAAAGAGGAAGGAAAGAAAGAAAGATAGAAAGAACAAAAGAAAGAAAGAAAGAAAGAAAGAAAGAAAGAAAGAAAGAAAGAAAGAAAGAAAGAAAGAAAGAAAGAAAGAAAGAAAGAAAGAAAGAAAGAAAGAAAGAAAGAAAGAAAGAAAGAAAGAAAGAAAGAAAGAAAGAAAGAAAGAAAGAAAGAAAGAAAGAAAGAAAGAAAGAAAGAAAAGACAGACAGACAGACAGACAGACAGACAGACAGACAGACAGACAGACAGACAGACAGACAGACAGACAGACAGACAGACAGACAGACAGACAGACAGACAGACAGACAGACAGACAGACAGACAGACAGACAGACAGACAGACAGACAGACAGACAGACAGACAGACAGACAGACAGACAGACAGACAGACAGACAGACAGACAGACAGACAGACAGAAAGAAAGAAAGAAAGAAAGAAAGAAAAGAAAGAAAGAAAGAAAGAAAAAAAGAAAGAAAGAAAGAAAGAAAGAAAGAAAAAAAGAAAGAAAAAAAGAAAGAAAGAAAGAAAGAAAGAAAGAAAGAAAGAAAGAAAGAAAGAAAGAAAGAAAGAAAGAAAGAAAGAAAGAAAGAAAGAAAGAAAGAAAGAAAGAAGAGGAGGAGAAAGAAGAAGAAGAGGAGGAGAAAGAAGAAGAAGAGGAGGAGAAAAATGAAGAAGAAGAAGAAGAGGAAGAAGAAGAAGAAGAAGAAGAAGAAGAAGAAGAAGAAGAAGAAGAAGAAGAAGAAGAAGAAGAAGAAGAAGAAGAAGAAGAAAAATATAAAGAAAAAAAAAGAAAGAAGAAGAAGAAAAAGGAGGAGATAACAATGACGACTTTAAAAAAGACATTTTAGAAAGAGCGCACTCTGAAAATTAGGAGCCACCCAGCGGCTAGACGCTCGCCGCGGATCGGAAGGTCGTGGGTTCGCTCCGTGGCTTAGCCGAACGTTTTTCAAAAATAACCTTGACTCCCAGGTCGATCCAGACTTAAGTGGGTACCGGGTGCAGTCCCGGGAAGTAGAGGCGGCCGGCGTGATGCTGACCACATCACCCATCTTGCGCCGATTGGTCTATAAAATATAGGTCTAGCCCTATATTCCCTTTACGCCTAAAAGCGTGGAAAAGGTCCTTTTTTTTTACTTTCTACCTATATGGCCAATATGTTTGAAGACGTGAAAAAAAGTCATTTACATTATTCTACAATTTTCAAAATGTTCAAACAGGAATCAACCGGGTATACAGATTTAAAAAGTGGAAGTAACGACGTATCGAACACTGCAGTATAGTAGATAACAAAGTTCAGCTTGTATACCTAATACAAAATAATGTCTTTACCAACATAAATATGATGCAGGTAAAAGATATAATAGTGCTAGGGATAAAATAATATACTGGGTGCATGCCTTCATCCGTGCATGCGTGCGTGCATCAAGTAATAGGATAATAAATTCAGTATCAAGTCGTGCTATTTGCGGTACTAGGAGTATACAGTGCTGGTTTGATTCAATGCAGATAAACTGGGAAGATAATGACTCCATCTGGTTTTCAATCTACTTCGTTTTTGGAAATAAAATTGGCTTGCGTGTATTGAAATTATAGGTGCAATGGAATAATGATACACGTTTGCTAAAACTATCAAAACTATCACTTGAATATTTTCTTTTTGAGGAAGAGTTCAGTATGGGCTGTCGCCGTGGCGTTAGTGGCTAGACGCCCGCCTGTTGATCGGAAGGTCGTGAGTTCGCGTCCTCACAGAGCCGGACTTTAAAAAAAAATAACTTGATTTTCAGATCGACCAGGCTTGAGTGGGTACCAGCTGCAGTCCTGGTAAGTAAATGCAGCCGGCGTGATGCTGACCACATCACCCGCCAAGTGCTGATTGGTCTGAAAAATATAGGTCTAGCCCTATATTCCCAATACGCTTAAAGGCGTGGATAAGGGCCCTTACTCTAGTTCAGTAGGCCTGCTCCCAAACACCTGTTCTGGGTGGAAAAGCGTGGCTGTTGACTTATCCCTCGTGCCGCATGTACCTCATATCGCTGCAGATGAGAAACACTAGTAAAATAAATAATAAAAATATGCTACTATCGTCAAATTTGAAAAGTAATTACATCTACTATAACTTTAGAGTAACTGAGTATCTAGGCTCTATAATAAACAGCAATGCAGACTGTTCGACAGAAATTAAAAGGAGGATGGCCATAGCAATGCAAAGATTGAACAGCCTTAAAAGTCTATGGTTAAGCACCAGCAAGGAGATAAAAATTGGAATTTTGAGAGCATGCATGTCCTTGTGGCTACATAGGGATGTGAGTCGTGGACTATCTCTGTCTTTAAGAAAGAGAAGAAATGCTATAGAAAGATTCTCAGAATATCTTGGACAAAGAAGATGAGATATATCGACATCTTTGAAGATCTGAACATCAAGGAAGAATGGCTAATAAACCGCATCCTTTCTTGAAAGCTGAAAATTTTTGGTCATTTCAAGCGCCACGACAGATTGGAAAACAAATTATAGCAGAAGGCATGGTACCAGGAAGGAGGGGCAGGGCCGCCCGACACGAAGATGGGCACATGATATAAGTGACTCCTTGAGTGTGAAAGTGCATGAGGTAAGAGAAGTGTCTAGAGACCGAGTTTCTTTCAGGCAGACTGTGTTGAGAGCGAAGGACCTGCTACATGATGATAACTTTACTGTAGTGAAGATGTCTCCAATAAAACTGACTCATGGAGAGATTTGATTGCCCACATCCGAAAGAGACAATTACAATTATTTATTCATGACATGAGAATGAGAAAACTAAAGTACATTGTTAGGGTGGGAAAATTTTATGGGAAAATAGAGAGAAGCGGCTGTACAGTTGAAATGATTGAAAGTACACGAGAAAGAAGGTTGGGGAAAGGCATGACTACAAACGCCACACGACGGACTATGAGAAGATGATTTGATTTAAGTTGAGTCAAGTATTACCATCACAGCATTTGGGACATTCCCATGGGCGCTTCGTCCCCATATTCAGCAGCCAACGCAAAGTTCCAACACTAGTTGTGCCAGTCGTTGACTGGTTATGTGTCCGTCTCGTCTTACCTCTGAGTGTAGTGCGCCGGCCGAACCCTCTTGTCACACCCAGGTGCATCATCTCTCCAGTCCATACTAATCTTGTTATTCTTTTCAGAAAATCTTCTTAAAAGAGGAAGAACACGCTTAATCAGAATATTCTTTCTTCTTTCTTTTCGCTAGTCTTGCCTTTTAGCGTTAGGCTCTGAAGAAGTATATTGTGCAAGCTTGTTGATGTCTACCGTGTGGAGGCAGGTATTCGCGACCTTAGATATGTCATTCATCAATCGCTTACTTAGGAGACCACTGGAGCTGCTCCCATTATATCTGATGACAGAGCTCTCTCTCTCGCTCTCTCTCTCTCTCTCTCTCTCTCTCTCTCTCTCTCTCCCTCTCTCTGCTGCACTGTCCTGTGGCGTCTTGACGCATGTCCAAAATATTTGACTTGTTTTCCGAAGAAATAAAGTAGATACAGAGCAATGGCAAGACCATGCACAAAATTGAACTACGGTATTTAAAACAAAATG